AAATGCGCTGAGCTCCTGGAGGACAATCCTCCGTCCTGGGCCACTTCCTACTGTCCCCAGCGCTACCCTCAGCTCAGCTCTCCAGGAGTTGCTCGGCATGTTTCGCCGTCGTGGCTGGCCTCCGTAGTCAGGGCTGTCGCTGTGGCTGTGGCTGCCGCAGCTGCTGCCAAGATTGCTGGTCCTTGGTTGTAGCAGCTACTGCTGGGGTGACTAAGGAGCTCCAGCCTGGGCTCTTTCCCCTCTGGGGGTCCACCCCACCTAAGCTGCTCCACTGCCTCTTATACTGCTCCAGCACTTGGAGCACACATAGACTGGGAAAAGGGGCGGGACTTCCTCCCTATCACAGGCAGTAATGTTTTGTACCATACCCGATGTGGATTAATTAGCTCACCTCTCTTACTCAAACTGGTGTCTGTAATTTATTAATAGGAATGCCAATACCTCAAAGTAATCATGTGAAGCTGCCAAACCTAATGACAGATTTGCTCATAAAAACCTGAAAAGAAAATTTCTGGAACAGGAGGTATCTTTTAAGGTACATACAATACAACTTTCTAATAAATACAAATGTTCAGGTGTTTTGTAAATTTATATAAGAGATTACAATTAAAAACTACAGAATGGATAAAGACTCTAGAAAAGCAAACTTATTTTTTGTGAGAGATTTCTCCCTTTATTTAAACACTTCAGCATTTTTAAGTGCAAACAAAGATGAAAATTGTTTGACCCCCCCCAAACTTACTTTAACTTACTTTAATAAAGGCTAGTGAAGTTTTATTCAGCAAGACTATCACTATCCAATTACAGGCACTTTTCTGTTGCTTCTCAACTGTACTTTATTATTTAATCTCTTCCTGTTATCTCCTCATGAATCTACAGTCACCATAGAGCTCAGCTTCAGTTATACTGAGTCTTTCTCCCCAAGCTCTATACATCCGTCAGGCTACGCCTACGCTGTAGTCTTCCAGAAAAGCTTATGGAAATGAAGCGTGGAGTGAAATATCACCATGCTTCATTTGCATAATTAATTAGTTGCTTTTGCGCAAGAGGCTTTTGCACAAAAAGGAGCTGTGTAGACAGCTCCTTTTTGTGCAAAAACCCCTTCTTGCACAAGAGCTGTTCTTCCAGGAAGGCTACGATATAGATGTAGCCTCACTGTGAACATCACTGCTATCCTCCTCATTTTTAACTTGGATTCTGACTGGATCTAGATATGCAGGTTATTCTTAGAGTGCTTTCTCATATGTATTCCAATTAGGTTTGCACATGCTGTGTGCGTGACTATTAGAAAATTTGTACCCTAGCTGCAACCTCTTGGGTCAGCTGTGGAGCTCTCTGGAGTGGAGCCAGTGCAATACCCTATATGTGACCCTGCTGGCCCAATCACTCTTCAGTTCCTTCTAACTGTCAGTGATGGTTGTTAGGACTTTGGCGCTCTTGCACTGCAAATACTATTCATTCCTAGCTAGATAGCTTAGTAATAATCATTAACTAGCTCAGTGTTGTAGCAGCCGGCCTTCTCCCCAGTGTTCCTGCTGGGACTTGAGGCATGCCAAAGCCCCAGGATTTAAGCACTACAGCGCTTGCCTGAAACATGCCAACAAGTGACCCCCATAATTTGAGCCAGCGGTGCCTGGAGAAACCTTATCAACCAGATGGGTGCAAGATTGGCAAGGCCTTTAAGCCCATATCAGAAAGGAGTGGGGCTATTGCTTAAGGAAACTCCTTATGCAATCTGCTTTGGATCCACATCAGGTCTGTGTCCATGGAATCCACCAATAGGGGCACCCCTCTGGTGTCCCTAGTTGGTTCTCTTCCAA